AAAATAAAATGATCAAAATACCCCCCAAAACGTTTTGAGGGTATTTTGGTCAATTCATTTCATGTAAAATATTTTTTTGATATTTTTAGAAGATTCACCTATTTTTGATAAGCACACGCTTAAAATTTCAAGTGATTTGGATTTGTAAAAAAAAAAACTAAAATTCAAATACTACCGGACATCCGTGACCGTCAGATCGTCTTAGAATCAATTTGGAACGTTGGGTTATATGTTCATACGAGCTGGTGGGCTAATCCCATCTTTTTCCTATATATATATATATATATATATATATATATATGTATATATATATATTCTTGTAACATAGCATTGATATGTTGATGCTCATATTCCGTATTTGAAATAAAGGAAGTAGAGCTTCTAGCAAGAATTTTAGAGCTCTGTGAATTCTAGCACTTCTATGAGGGTAAAATTTGATTTGGACTTCCCCATTTGGAAATTGTACGATAGAGTTGACATTAGAATTTTGCACAGGTCTTGAAGAAGTTTCATTTTGTAAATTCCATTGTGATGGTAAATTCACTTGATTCCAGGTTATCGTCTTAGGAAGAATTAAATTTGATTTTTCAAACTTAAATATTAGTTTGAGGCTCTTTCAAACTTAAATATTAGTTTGAAAGAGTAGAACTTAAAGTTTGAGATCTGCTCCTAAATAGACTAGCCATGGAGTCAATAACACAGTTACCTTTTCATGTTTTACAGTCAATGGGATAAATGGACTAGCGACTTATCTTATGCGTCTACGTGCTCAACCACGACTTAGGGTTCTACAGGATTAGGCGTACTGTCTTTTACGACTTTAATGGCTGGCTTATTTTGGTTGAGATCAAACTTTAAATAATAAATTAATAACTTGGCTCTAATACCATTTAAAATTAATTATGATAAAATTGAAGCTGATTTTAATTCTAGCTATAATAAAGATGTCAGAGAATGGTTTCTTAATAAAGGAACTGATAGATCTTCTCAATATATTAAAGAAAAATATATTGAAGCTACGTATAACGCTATAGGAAACATGTTCTTTTTTAGATGGTTTGGAAAAGTGTTTGTTAGATAACATAAACTAACATTTCCATTCGAATACATAGGAAAGAGGTATGCTAGAAAATCTCCTAATATTAATACATTAAATTTTCAATACAATTCTTACAAAACTACTGAAGGAGAAATAAAATCTAGATATTTTCCAGAAGATTTTATATTAGATGTTAAGGGAACTACTGCTATCCTGTATAAAAAAACTTCTGATAGTCCTAATATGGAAGGATTTAAAACAATTATAAAACAAAATAATTATACTAATCTCTATCTTAAATCCATAGAAGAGCAAGCGAATAGAATAGAGGATTTAATATCTAAAAAAGATACTCTGGAAGATAAACCCTCATTTTCAAAACAAATACCATCTTCCATAAAAACTACTGCTCCTTTAGTTTTTAAACTCTCACGTGAATTACCTAAAAACAGGTT